AGGATAGATAGTTCACTAAAAAAGGGACAAACCGAAGAAGTCAACAGCCAAATACATTTTTCTCAAGTGCTCTGGGCGCAGCTACGACCCCCTCCCTCCAGACCAAAGGAACCGCCCCTCGCTGATTATCTCCAACGTGCAACATTGCCCTGATTACTGGTGTGATCCTACAGGTGACAAACCTGCCCGGTCCTAGAAGAACGCTCAGCATGGTCATATTCTAAACAAAGTGTTTGCTACCGGTAGTGGACTTTGTCGCGCACATCCACTGGGGATTCTTAACGGTAGGGTCGCACATGCCCGCTGGAGAGCAAAGGTAGGTCCCAATGGGTCAGAGACGAGTTTTTTCGCCTGCTGATATCGCTCGCTTCACGCGCTGTATACCTACCCACCCTCGCTCCCTTCGCTGCAAAATTTTGGGAAGATTCGCTGAGTGGTAGCTATTTTGTGAAAGCGGGTCGATGGAATTGTATTTGGAGGGTTGCAGGTGGCACAAAGTTTCCCCTGCACCAGCATGCAGCTTATTGTCGTGAATGAGTCAGATATATCCTGAATGAGCCAACTCCATTGCTTAATAGTCAAACTGGACTTTAAGAGACAAGGGAAAGTCCTAGTGAGAGCCCCCTTGACGGGGCACTTCTTGCCGCTGGAGAAAATTTCGCCACCACCTCCGCCTCGGATTTCCCTTCTCTGATGCTACTCCTCCAGCTCTCCCTTCTTCGTCCTACTACCATGTCCCTAAATTTTCCCAACTCCAACTTCCTACCACTTTTCCAGGTTACTCCGCAGTGCTCTCCAGGATCCGCAGTCTATCCTTCCCTCCTCACCGAGCCGTCGAGCGGGAGAGGGGTGGGGAGGGGGGGGGGGAAGCAAAGTAGAAATAGTACACATGAAGCAGAAAAAAAAATCACGAAAATTCAGGGAACGTTCTTACAAGTGATCGGAAGGGAAAATACACCACCGATTCCCAACAATTAACGTCCCTGAAGCAAGAAAAATCAACTATCAAAAAAATTTCCTCAGCCCCCTTACCTGTCGGGGAATCCCCAACAGCGATGTGCCCTGATCTATACCGGGAAGTACCCTCAATCAGGTTATATAGCATACTTGAACCAGGAAAAACAGGAAGTCAGCAACAGAAGGCATTTTTCTCAAAGGCGAATACTACTCCTCTTCGTCTCTCTAGCCACCAAATACAACCCTGTTCGCTAGGTTCCTCCACCGTACAAGTGCCCTGCCCCTTGCGGAACAACGTCACACTTATAAATTAGGTATGAAATATTTACTTACCATAAAATGATG